TGCCAGGTGTGGCAGGCTGACCCTAAGCCAGCACCAGGGTGCTGTGCTGCCCCTGCTCCTGCCCGCAGCCCCACTGGGATGGTGCCACTTCAAAGCTTGGGATACCCCTTCTCTGGGATCCATACCCCTTATCCCTGGAGGGCCAGTGTCGGGGACCAGGACAGGGAGCCCCCATGATACAGGGCCATATCCCCCTTCGATAGGCTGAGTCTAGGGGCCTCCTCACCAGTGTGGCCTGGGTCAGCAGCTGGCCTGGGGAGCACAGGGGTCCAGCCCAGCCTGCACTCCTCCTGGCCCCAGCATGGAGCCCTTGCTGCTCCACCTCCACAGACCCCAGGCCAACATGGCACAAGGCAAACGCCTACCGCCTGGGTGCCCAGGGAGGGCTCCAGGGAGGCCCCAAGGGACAGAAGTGCACCAAGTAGCCTTTGGGGCCAGGGCCAGCTCCTCTGGATCCCTGCCACTGTCTAGGGATGTGGAACTGACCCACAACGGCCCTGAGGACACTGACAACCTATATAAGGACATTTAGCCCTACAGGGCCCTGGACAGAGACAAGGCAGCTGGCACTCCCCGGTACAGGGCGGGAGCAGGCAAGACGCAAAGGATGCCCCCAACACTCACCACCTCATCCACAGGGAGAAGGCGCAGTGGGCAACCTGAATTGTGTGGGTACCACACCACAGTGCATGTGACCTGGCAGGACGAGGTCTCCAAGGTGGCCTGGCCTTAGGGATGCAGGAGGCATGGCATGGTCTGGGAATCCTGTGAGTGAATCCCAGGGCCCCAACCCAGCCAAACCTCAGGCTCCCTGGAGAGACAGGAGAGAGAGCCTTGCCTTTAACACAACCACTTGGCCTCACACTAACCTGCCTTTAACCCTAACCTTAACCCTCTCCGTAAAACTAACCCTAACCTCCCCTAACCCCAATTCTACTCTTAACCTCCAAGTCCTAACCTTAATCTTAATCCTTAACCTGCCCAGCATGGTGACAGTACCTGTAATCTCAACATTCAGGAGGCTGAGGCAGGAGGATTGCTGTGAGTTTAAGGCTGGTTTAGGCTACATAGTGAGTTCACGGCTGTGAACTACAGCATAAAACTGTCTCAAAAAAAAAAAAAAAAAAAAAACAAAACCCTAAATCTGGGCTGGGGATACAGCTCAGTGGCACAGTGCCTGCCTGGCAAGCCCAAGATCCTGAGTTTGATTCCTGGTACAAAAACCCTAAGCCTAACCTCACCATAACCCTAACCCTACCCTAGCGCCTCAACCCTAACCCTAACAGCCTTGACTCTAGCCTCTAGCCTCTAGCCCTGACTCCAATTCTGTAGCTGGATGGGGTCGCAGGGAGATGGGGCAGGGCTATACCTGAGCCAGTGGCTGTGCAGGTTGGGGACTCCAGGGCTCCTTCACAGGGACGTCCCTTCCAGCATGAAGGTGGGGGAAGCTGCAGATCAGGCGGGGCCACGTCAGGGATGCTGACCCTTCCTGGAGCTGCAGTCCCACAGGGGCAGCCAGAACCATGCCCCCACTCTGATCACAGACATGGTAGGAGGAGGCATTCTCACAGTGCATGGGCAGACAGGACTGTGCCTTAGCCTCCCTGGGACCCCAGGGGCAGCGCCTCCCTGACAGGGCCCTAGCACCACTGATGTCCAGGCAATGCGGAGAGCAGCAGGACCCTCCCCTCCACGCCCCCACCTCTGTGCTGGACTCAGGGCAGCCTGGGATGGCTGGGCACAGGTGCCTTGCTAGGGACCCTGCATAGGGACCCAACGCTCAGCCCAACTCAGCTCACTGCCCCAGGCTAAGATTTTAGGGCCCCATGGTGACCCTACTTCTGGCCGTCGAGACCTTGTAGGATCAGGGCCTCGGGCAGGCCCCCTGCAAACTGGCTGTGGACCTGTCCTTACACTCCAGGAGTAACGATGTAGGGTGCTGACTCTGCTAGGCCCTGCCTGGACTGCAGCGAAAGCCTGGGGTGGGGTACCCTCGGCCACCAGCTCAGCCTGTGTCCTGTCTGGGTGTGCCACCAGGAAGCCACTCAGTACAGTCCTGAGGCCACAACACTCTAGCCGCCAGGCCAGCAGGAGAAGCCTGGGGCAGGGTAGCAGCACTGGCCAGGCCAGGTCATGGGTCCCAGTGAGGTCCCGGCACTGGTTCACCTCACTTTGGTCAGGCATAGACAGAGCAGCTGCAGGCCTGGATGGAGTTTGGGGGCTGGGGCCCACCTCTGCCCTCCACCCAGTCTGCAGCCCTGCACACACATGCATGCTCACATGGGGCACACACAGACGTGCTAGAGCACATGCACGCACTTGTGCACACAGCACGCTCACACGTGGGCTTCCCTGGGCCAAAAGACCCTTGCCTAGCCCTGGATGAGGTACCCAGTCTGGGTGCCCCTCTGTGCCCAGCCTCTCCTTCCCTCTGGCCCTTGGGAGCAGGAGGCCCATGGAGCTGAGGACCTGGGGCACCCACTGCCACTCCACTGGCAGCACCTCTGCCTTGGGTCCTGCAAAGCCCGTAGCTGCTGTTCACGGGCAGGGACACCTGTCCTGGATAGAAAGCTCCTGGACTGGCCTCCTCTGAGGTGCTTTTCTGGGGTTGCTTGGCCAGGGTCAGCTTGCCAGAGGGGCCAGAAGTCTAGGCCTTCAGGAGGTGGGGTGCAGATAAGACAGCCAGCCAGCTGACCAGGGCTCTCAGGCCCCTGGTGCCCAAGGCCGGACAATGGCACACAGGCAACAGGAAGGGAGTGGCTGGCCTGGGGGAGCCAGCACAGATCCCACGGAGAACAGGCGACCAGGTCTGCCTGGGCCCTTGACCCACACAGCCCTGGGGACCAGGGTACCTGCTGCTCCATCCCATGTGCATAGTGGCCATAGGTGGGAGGATGGGCGACCAGCCAGCCCTGGGCAGAGGCTCCAGGATGGTGTCCTGCAGGCCCGATCTGGTGCCATCCCCTGCTGGGGCCTTCCTGGGTGGGGTCCTGCCCTGCACCTCTCCCACCCCCATGCGCCAGCCCTGTGTTCTGGAATCAGCCTCTGTGGAACACAAGATGGGCCGTTTTTTCTGCCAGCAAGGCGGCCAGGCCCAGCCACAGGGCAGGGAGCTCCCTCCTGGCCGGCCGGACACCTGGCCCCACACAGGACACTGCAAGACTGGCCAGGCCGGCCGGCTCTCCCCACCTGTGCTCTCCTGCCACGGACCACCTGCTCCAGGCCCAGGCGCCTGTGCCAAGGCCTCCACCCACCTGGCGCGGGCCGGCCACAGATGGCGACATGCGTCACTGGGCCCGTGGGGTGGCAGGGGCAGGCAGCCAGTCCCCAGTGTGGTCCCCACCCCTCTGCAGCCAGCAGGTCGTGGCCATGCTGGGTGCGTCTGCGGGAAGCTGGGCTCCTCCACCCTGGTTTCATATCCTCGTAGGCCAGCACTGTCTGGTGGCCAGCCCTCTCTCCTTGAGATGCGAACTGCCAGGCAGGCCCTAGGCTCAGGACACCCACAGCAGCCTGTGGGGGAGCCAGCCTCTTCCTTGTCTTGGGGCCTATGGCCCCGGACAGAGTGGTGAGGGTCACAGCAGGAGCTGGGTAAGGCTCCTCCTTGCCTGAAGGCATTCAGGTGGAACCCCCTCCTCCAGGCAACCAGGGGGAGTAGGGAGGGTTGGCGACAACCCCAGTGGGCTGGCATGGGGACACAAGGACACATGCTGTCACCGTGGCACTGGCAACAGGGCCCGGGCAGGGGACGGGTGTGCCAGCCAGCTGTTACAGTAACTGGGCAGCAGCTTCCGCTTTCCAGAGGGCACCTGGCACCCAGCCAGCAGACAACAGTGCCGGCCCTGCGACCATGGCCAGCCCCTTGGTGGGGCGGGGCAAGCCCGGGTGGGGCTACAGATACCGGACGGTGAAGGCACAGCTGGCACAGACAGAAGGCAGTCACAGGCTTGAATGAAGAGCCAGGACCGCTCTGCCCTAGGCTCACTCTCACTCCCAGGTCCCCAGGACTCGGGAAGTCACCAGATGGAAACAGGGGACAGAGATCACCCCAGGACCCACGAGACCTCATGTACAGGGGGTAGAGGACGGGACTCCTCCCTCCAAACCTGCCCCTCCAGGCCACTCTGGGCCAGGCTTTGACTGAGCTCGGTCCCAGGTGAAGGCCAGGACTACCACGGCCTCAGACCCCCACACACCCAGCTCGAGCCCCAGTGGGCAGGTCGCCCATGCCATCCCTGCCCTTCCTGCTGCTGCTGCCTGTAGCCTGGCCTGGCTTCCTGCAGCAAAGCTGTCCTTGCCCTGCTGATGCCCCAGCTGCATGCCCTCCTCCTGGCAGGCACTCTCCATGGTGTCCCGAGGGTGCCCAGGTGGGTGCTGGGGAGCATGTGCAGAGCCCAGGCCCCCGGGGACAGAGATGACCCTGGAGGAGCCTCCCTCGGCCCACCTCCAGGCTGGGGTACCGGGGACCTGAGGTGGTTCCCAGCAGTGTACTGGAGAGAAGGGGGCGGGGGTTCCTCTGATCCCAGGTTTGGGGGCTCAAGTGTGGGACAGCAGGTCTGGGAGTCTTGCTGGAAGCTGCGGGGCCACTAACCTCTCATCAGAGCCAGATCAGGCCTGGCCCAGGAGGCTGGAGCTGGGTGGACAAAGGGGCACCACGTGGGGACTCCGTCCTCAAGTCACCAGCAGCCCAGTCCTACAGAGCAGGGCCTGTGCCGCCCCAGAGCTCAGGCACAGGGGCCCTGCCGGCTCCTCCCCAGTGACACAGGCGACGCCCTGGAGCTCGAGGACCTTGGGAGATCGGCACCCTCGTTGGCTGCCCCCGGGCCCAGGGTGGCTGCGCTCAGGGGCCCAGCTACCACCCACCCTGTGCCTGACGGAGGCCGGGGACACACACAGCTGCCCGTGTGCACACCCAGTCCTTTACTGTACAGTGTCATCTCTCCCAAGGGATGGGAAGGGGGCGCTAACAGGTACACAGCGAGATAGATAAATACGCCAAGCTATTTTCTTGTTTCCTTTTTAAAATCAGGCATTTATAAACAAGAAAGCATACAGTAATTACATAAAAATAGCTCTCGAGTAGCAGAGTAAGCTGTCATATGGTCATTAGCAGCAGCGGAGAACGAGGGGGGGCCTCTGGAGCGTGTCAAGGCTGGAAATGGGGATTTTCCTTTAATTGAAAAAAATGTCACTTGAGACTCCTGACGCAGAGCATGAGGTGCCCCTCTGCCCAGGTGTGGCGGGAGGCAGGGCGGGGACTGGCGGGCAGCGGGCGGGACGAGGCTGGGCTGGAGAAGCCTGGCCCAGCCGGCTGCTCCGCCTGGCAGCAAGCTGTTTTCCTCCTCAGTTAAAACAGCCCAAAAAACAAGACAACTACCACGTAAGAAAAGTTTTTGAAAAAGGAGCCACCATATACATGTATAATACAACAGTGTGAAGTGAAAAAGTATTTACACGTTAGCTGTTTTACACTGGCTAGTTCTGTACGGGACGCAGGAGTCGTGACGGGTTAGCTGCTCCACAGATGTGTTATTGCTGTTGTTTTTTCCCTTCGTTAAAATCTTCTTTCAGTGTAGAAACGATGAGTGCTTAGGCTGAATACACAACCACGGCGATACGGGGGGCTGTCCTCCCGCCTGCGAAGAAATGGAACTGCAGCTGCCTCGTGGGTGCAGCCGGGGGGGAGAGGGGACGCCCCAGCGCCCCTCCAGCCTCCCCAGGACCAAGACCAGGGTGGGAGGCGGGAGGAGCAGAGCTGCCTGGGGCCCCGTGCCTGGCTGCTGGAGGGGGTGCTTGCCCTGGTGCTGCCACCCCAGAGGGGCGGCCACAAACTCAGGGGACCCAAAGCCACCCTGAGGCCAGCTGGTGTGTCCAGGGAGTGGCCACCGTAGACAGCCCAGGGCAAGGACACCCGCGTGCCACGGCAGCAGGGGCAGGGCGAGGGCCCTCGCCAGATGGAGCCAAACTCCAGCGGGACCGACACACTGCCACCTGCAGGCCTGGCGACAAGGACGTCACACAGAAGCACGCCAACACTTAAAGCTTTGCTCAAACTAGATCGTTTAGTTTCCCTTGAAGAAATGACTGAAACACACAAGTCTGGAAAAACAAGGCTGAGAACAGCGCTCTGCGTGTTGCGTAACAAAACTGACCCTTTACAAGACACGGTAATAATGCCCATGGGGGGGTCTGCTATGGCAGAGGTGTGAAATCCCATGCATACAGGTTTCATAACTGCAAAAGAAAAAGAAAGAAAAACTCCAAATAAATGCTGCATATACATGATGTCCCTTTTGCATTGCACTTCAGGAAGGGGGGTGTCCCGGCAGCAACCGAGCCCCCCTCAGTAAACCGAGGGCAGAACCCTGTAGACGATCCTGTCACCCGAACTTCAGGGTTCGGCAGTCTCTGGTCGCTGCCTGCGGCTGCCGGCAATTAACAATTCCGAGGTCGTGTGTACCTGCACCAGCCATCTCCACCCCCTCAGCGCCCGGCTGCCACGGTGTCGGACGGGACCTGGGCAAAGAGCTCCTGTGCGTTCTCACGTGAAGTAATACCACGATTTCAGGGTGGGAGGTGCCTCTTGTCTACTGGGAAGTAATTTTTCAAGCTTGGGCATAAAAACCTTATATAATTTGCATAAACAGTTGAGAGTAAACGAGATTATTTGGAATAAATGCAAGTAACTCCTCTGACAGTGGCAGATACCATTGCTACTGAAGACGGTACTGGGGTCAGAAGACAGGAGCTGGGGTTTCTGTACAAGATGCTGGAAGGCACAGGACGAGCCTCAAGTTCGGTTCTGCATTTCGTTTCCTTGTGATTCCCTTGTTCAACCAAGCACCAGAGGGGATTCTAAGCACTCAAGCACAGAGGGTTTGAACTGCTCTAGAAATCTGTAAAAACCTCAGTTAACTGGGGAGTAAAAAGAGAAGGGAAACTTTTTGACAAAGTGCAGTTCTAAATATACGTTTAAATGAACAAACAAAAAAAGTAATAGTAATGCTGTGTTTTGTTCCAATGCTGCAGCCTCGGCCAAAAGCGACGCTGCAGACTGAGCAGGCGGCGTGCTCCCGGGGGCAGAGGCAGTGCCCACCGCAGGCCCCCGCACGCCCTGCGCAGGGCAGCACCTCGCTGGCTGGGGGCCGCGCCGCCGGCTCCTGGTGGCTCTGCCTTCCTGGGGCCTGTGGGGCGGCGGCGTGGGCGGACGGGCGGCAGTAAGGCGGGCAGTGTTGGGCTCATCTCGCTCGCGGCGCTCTCCCTGCTCTTCCTGGCAGCAGCAGGAAGATCCAGGTCCTCGTCGCTGAAAAAATAGACTCTGAAGAAAAACTCTTGCTGTCCTCTGGCAGCCGCGGGCACAGATGAGCGCGATGGCTTCTGGGGCGGGAGGGTGGCTCGCCCCGCCGCAGTGGGTCTCCAGATGGCGTTCCGTGTGGGGTTTGGAAAGTTAGTCATAAAAAATGTGTTGGTTTTCTGAATATCAAGTCTCCCTACTGGTTTTAAATAGCTTATAACAAAAGTGTAAATGTTAGAGCGCCTGGCGAGCAGAGGGCCCGGACTGGCCTCTCTGCAGCCCGGGACGCGGCCTGCCCGCTGGAACCTGGCCAGTAGAAACTTTTGCAGTGGATCCCGAAGGTGTGCGGTTACAAACACTCGCTTGGTAATAGGCACAGGAGAGACGTTGTGCTGGGTGGCGCAGAGGCGCTGGCCGGGCCTGCAGAAGCCCGCGCCTGCCCGCTGCTCTCTGCGCCCGGCGTGGTCGTGCCCAGCGGGGGCAGCTCAGGCTAGGGCTCCAGCTCCGGGGCGCCCTCGCCGCCCCCACCGCCGCTGGCATTCTCAGGGCGCGACCGTGGCCACAGCTGCTCCTGCAGCTCCTTCACCACCTTCTCCAGGTGCTCGCGTGCCTCACGCTCCCGCAACAGGTCTGCCCGCAGCTGCTCACGGTCAGCCTCTGCGTGCTGCAGCTTCACCTGCAGGTCCTCAATCTGGAGGGGCAAGCAGCAAAGTTAGTGGGGCCCTGCCTGGCACCTGCTCCCTGCACCCCTCGGCTCCAGCTCCCAGGGGAGCTGCCCCATCTCGAGCCGGGGCAGGTGTCATGTCCCTGGCCCAGTTGGTGGCAGGGCTGAGTACAGGGTACACACGCAAGCTCCACCTGCCCCCAACACCCAGCTGTGGGTGCGAGCTCATTCTCAGAGCAACAGGCAGGATCCCCGAGTGCCCCAGCATCCCCCGACCTCCAGGCATGGCAACGCCACTGCAGTCTGGGCAGCGTGGCCTTGGTGGACCGGGGACACTGGGCCACGACACCGGCCATAACTGGTGTGTTCCCGCTCTCTGGAGCTCCCCACCCACAGAGCCGCCTGCCCGTACCTGGGCCGAGTACTTGGCACGCAGGCGGCCGGCCTCACAGCCCTTGTCACACACCCGGACCTGCCGCGCCTGCTCCAGCTCCCGCTTCAGGCGCACCCGGGACTCGTTGGCCTCCTTCATTTTCTTCTCGTTCTCAGCTCGGAGGCGCTCGATTTCCTTCCGCAGGCTGCGCTTGGCCTCTGTGGCTTCCCGCAGCTTCTCCTTCTTGGCCACTCGCAGAAACTCCAGCTCCTAGAATGACAGTGGCCAGGTAGAGGGTCACCTGCCAGCTGCACGGGACGCCTTTCCCACGGGTTCTGTCCTGGCACTGTTCGACCTGGTCAGCCACTGCATGCAGGGTCCAGGCTCCCCCAGTCAGCAGGAGCTGCTGGGCCTCCCAGCCGGTGTCTCCCGCAGCCTCTCAGAGCAGCAGTGTGTGACTCACACCCCGCCCTGCAGACACTGCAGACACCAAGTGGGAAATCGCACCTCCGCCCAGCACCGGGCGATGATGGGGGCGCAGCACGGAGGACAGCCGTGGGATCCCTCAGCGGGGCCAACGGGGTTGTGTTGTGCTAACGCCCAGGAGTGTGAGGCAGCCCGGAGCTGCCAGACACAGCTGAAGTGTGAATTCAGCTGCAGGCTGGCTCCGTGCAGAGCCCCAGGACCAGCTCCCCTTCATCATGTGCGTGCTCCAGCTTTGTCGAGACAACTCTGGGGATATCCTGCACCCAGCGACAGGAGGAGCAGCCTGCTCTTGGCCTGGCCACTCAATGCCACCCTTCCCTTTGGCCTGGTGCGCAGCCCCTGTGCACAGCAGTGACCACTTGTGGACAGGGCCTCTGGGAAGACCCTGGTCTCACCTGGTGGAGGCTGCGCTTGGCCTGCAGGGCAGCATTCAACTTCTCCTCCTGCTTTACGCGCATCTTGACCACTTCGTGCAGAAATTTCTCTTTGGCTTCCTTGGTGTCCAGGCCACCCTCCAGGGCCTGCCGCAGGTGCTCCAGCTCTGCCTCCAGCCCACTCGGAGCATCTGCGTGGGCTGTGGCATCTGGGACAGCCATGGGGGGGGCGTGCACACCTGGGGAGCTCAGGTCCTTGGCAGAGCTGGATGACGTGAAGGATGGTGAGGACAGCGAGGACAAGGAGGAGGTGACTGGGGACAAGAGACTGCAGTGAGCAGCTGCAGGTGGGAAAGGGCTGCTGCAGCCAGAGCCTGACCCGGGACCCCTGACCGGCAGCTCCCACCAGCCTGCAGAGAGCCGAGAGAAAACTGAGCCACTCACATTCCTCTCTGCTCTCCACTTCGACCTCAGCCTCTGAGTCCTTGTCCTCTTCTGCAGCAGCTACCGGTACCAGTATCTCCGGGGCCCCAGGAGCATCTGCAGTCAGCTTCCGCTTCCGGGGCTGGATACAAGTGGGAAGAGGCTCCGGGGCTCGGGAGACCACGGTGCTACATGGCGGGCTGTTTACCACTTTCTGCTGGGCTGGCGGGGCGAGGGCCACATTGGGAGCCCCTGCTGTTTCGAAGCTCTTGTAGGAGTAAAAGCTACAGAGGGCACAGGTGTCAGGTCAGGGAACAGCTGCCCCTGAGCCCCACCCAGCTGTCTGCCAAAGCCAATCCTGGCTGGACCACTCCCTGGCTGTGACACAGGATATGCATTCTCCCCTAGTCTAGGCCCCGCATCCACTGGCTGAGACCCACAGAGGTTTCCCATGGCTATGCACCCTGGGAGGACCAAGTGGCCCCCACGAGGAGGCCATGCTCACAGATGGGCTCTGTGAATTCCACAGCTGCACCCAAGGCCTCAGAAACCCTAGCTGGTTCACCCTGGTGCCAAGCAAACACTGACAGGAAAACGCCTGGAAAGACAAGGCGATCTCGGTGCCCCACCACCAAAGCAGTCACTCACCTGTCTCGGATCAGGGCTGGGAGGTGTGGAGAAATTTCCTTTTCACTGGATGAAACTGCGGGGGACCAGGGTCGGAAAGCAGAGAGGCGCTGGCGAGGGTGGACGCAGCCCAGGCTCTGTGGGAAAAGTTGCATCAGGTCCCCAAGGCTGCATGGCACCCAGCCCTGGGCAGAAGGCCTGGCACCCGCCTCCCGCGGACCCAGGCAGGTTCCACACGGCACCTTATTGGAGGAACTGGCCAAGGTCCGAAGCCAGCTGGACTGCTTGTCCTTCTCGGAAGACGCAGGGGACTGGGAAGAGGCATCGTCTGTTTTGGGTCTTATGGAGGCTGGGGCTTCAGAGGAGACCTGCGGGCAACACGGAAGGCCCTGCTGGTACCTGTGGGCCTGCGCAGGGTCTCCCCACCCGCCTGCCTGACTGGAATGGCCCCAGATTCTAGCGTACAGGGCAGGCAGCCCTGCCCACTGCATGCTGGAGACCCAAGCTGGCAGCATCACGCAGGAAGGTGAGCCTGGTGCTGCCAGGAAGGACAGCCACTCTCAAGTACACAGAGCACGCTGTTGTGCCGCCGCGGGCTGCTCCAAAGTGACCTCATCCACAGCTGCAGTGGGACGGGCGGGGGGGCTGGCACAGCAGCTCTACCTGCCCTGCACGTCCCCTGCCACTGACTGACCACACCACCTTCCCAAAACCTGGGGGTATGGGACCCTACCCTCACGCATACACTAGGAGCTGACAAGGCCATGGGTACCAACACCAGAACAGCCATGGATACTTTAGGAAACTGGCCTTTCAGTCCCCATCCCCGACATGAGGGTCCCTGTGCGCCACACAGGTGAGGCTGCAGACACCACAGCTGTCCATGCCGTTGGGAAGCTCAGAACAGCTCTCCCTGGACACCTACTGGCCCTCGGTGCTGGCCAGCCCTGCAGTCCATCCCCCCACACGTGAACAGAGCTCAAACCCAGATGGCCATTCATTGCCTGAGAGCACGAGAGTCTCCCCTGGAGCACAGGACAGGAGGGTGGCCCCAGGAAGACCCCATCCCTGTCTCAGCCTAACGAGACACTGGGAGAGCAGAGTAAACGAGGTTGGAGGCTCCCCGGAAAGCAGGACCACAGACCTGGCCCTATGACAGCAGAGTCTGGGCTTGCAGGGTGGAGGGACAGGGAGGCAGGTGGTCGGGGCCTGGCAGCACTGTCGGAACTTGGCAGCCAGCGGGCGGGGCAGGCCAGTAAAGCCAGGCTGCATGTGCAAGTGTGCACACCAGGCTTCCGCCCAGGAACACAGGCGGGGGTGAGGTGCAGGGCACCCCTTCTCGCATGCAGGGCCCAGGTTGGAGAAGCCAGAGGAAGGGACAACTCACTGGCCTCTATCCTCACAGATGCAGCTGCCCAGCTACCTTGGGCGCCTCCAGGGTGACCCCATAGGCTCAGCCAAGGGCTCTGTCCCAGGCACTAAATCTCTTTCGCAGCTGCCAGGTCTCAGTGCCATCCCACAGAAGCGGAGGAGAACTATGGCACAGAGCAGCCTCTGGAGCCCCAGGACCCTTCCCATATTCAGGCAGGGCTGCACCGCCAGGGAGGGGCTTCCTGTCTTCTCGGAGCAGCAGGTGCAGAGAGCGGGCATGGCCTCACCCAGAGAAAAGAGGAAAGAGGAAAGCCACAGAGCCGGCGCCGTCTGATTCCGACTTGAGAAACCTCAGGGACTTCCGGGGGAGCAGCCAGACACCTCTGTGGAGCCACCAGGGCTGCAGGGCGCCCACTAGGCAGGCAGGGAAGACAGGGGCGGGACCATGTTGAAGCCACCAGCACACGCAGCAAGCCTCATACAGTGGACAGCACCCAGAGCAGAGGTGGCCACGGCCTTGGCCTTCAGTGCCAGCTCACCTGTGCAAGCCAATGGGGAGAAAGCACTTCTGGGGAGCCCAAGGAAGTGTCCTCCATAGGGTGTCTACACCAGGGAAAAGGTGTCCACTCACAGCTCAGCCATTGGGGTCCTAGCATAGAGCTGCACCTGGTGACTGACCACTATGCCCAATTCCACGAGAGCCCATTAAGACCCTCACCTCTGGATTCTGATCCTAACATCAGTCCAGATCCCATAATCTGCAACAGTGGAGAACTGCTGGACTGCTGGACAGGGTGGAGTGACAGACCCAAGGGCCATGCAGCTCCTCGGCACCCCATTCCCAGGAACCTCAAGTTCTGTGGCCACTGTCAGACTACATGCAGTAGGGCTGGCCGCTGAGTGGTCCCATGGCCCCTTCCACTCCCAAATGTCCACAAGCATCACAGGGAGCAGGGAGGGCCAGCTCCACCCACACCTCACACCAGGGCACGGCCCAGGCTCATAGCCACCAGGCTACACTTCCAAGGGGCAGTGGAGGCAGTGGGCAGAGGCTCAGAGCGACGTGGGCCTGGCTCCCTCTGGAGCTCAGCCTGTCTAGAGCCCCACCAGGCTCAGGTCCCCATGGGGCAGGACCTGGCAGGGAGGATTCCGCAGGAACAAGGCAGGCTGGGCACTGCAGCCCAGGGCCAGGTCTCCTGGTAGGGTTTTCAGGGTCTAAGGGAGCCTCTGTGGCAGAGGTAAGTCACAGGGAGCAGTAGCACAAAGCTGCTCTCCCTACCCAGGTCCAGGAAGCCCATGCACCGCGGTGGACTCAGCTCCCAAAGTGTGGAGACTGCACTCTGCCTGCACAATGCAGCCAGCCATGGCAGCACAGACTGAGCTGTGCAGCTCGGCCCATCTGCCTCGGTGGGTGCCAGCTCTCCCTTGGGGACATTGGGAGGCCATCTGCTCAGGTAAACCCATCTCCATGGCCACTGCGTGGCCCCTCCTCCACACAGAGGCCCTTCGTGGCCCCTCCTCCAGTCAGGTCAGGGCTGGGGGCCTCCCTGTTCTCGCCTGTACCCTCCTGGCCGGACAGAGCCATCCGGAGCCTCAGCTGGCACAAGCTTCCATTGGCAGTGATGGCGGTAACACGGGGCAGAAACTGGCCTGGGGCACACTTGGTCCCACAAGACCCACTCTGGGGTGTTGGAGCCCAGAGAACTGGAAACAAGCCGAACATCTGGCCTACAATTCTCAAAGACATTGCCACTGGAACGTTCCAGATGAAGGCCCTACAAAATCCCTGTCGTGTATGTACTTTGTGACACCTTTGTTTGATGATAAACTTAATAAAGAAACAGTGAGCTGGATGTGGTGACACACACCTACAAATCCCAGCACCCTGGAGAGGCTGAGGCATGAGGATCACCAGTTTGAGGCCTGCCTGAGCTACAAAGCAAGTTGAAAGCCAGAATGAACTACATAATGAAACCATCTGAAAAGAAGCAAAACAAAATGAAAAAGCACAATGAAGTATCGGTCCATACCCACCAACATGACTGCAACTTTTAAACCTTGAACGTTACCATTGAGGTGAAGAAACCATGTCACCAGTAGGAGGACACCTCCATGAAGCACAAACTCCCACAGGACCCGGCACCCCCTCTCCTCAGGGCCACACAAAAACACTCCTGAGATGACGCAGCTGCATCTGACAGTCACCCTCATCAGCCCCAGCATCGGTCTGGAGAGCCAGGGTGGCCAGCTAACCAGGCTGCATCGGCAGCAACAGCCAGAGGAGCAGCAATGTGGCCGTGGCTGCGGTCCCGAGGGAAGCAGTGGGAGCCTGCACCTGTGATGCGGCCCAGGGAGCACAGGAAGGGGCCAGGCCAGCCCGTATGTCTCTGCTGGGATCCCTTGAGGTCCTGCCTCACTAGGTTGTGATTTTCTGGCCATGAAGAGGCAGATGAGCAGACATGAGCAGGAATGTCACCCTGAGCACCAGAGTCCTGGCCTCCCAAGAGTCCATCCTGACAGTCCCCACCCAGGGTTCACTGCTGTGCCACCAAATCTAAAACCCCAAGGTGGCTCTGAACGCCTGGCTAAGGAGAGAGAAGGCTGCAGAGCTCCCATCACTCGGGGTTCCTGGGGTCTAGGTGAGAGCCAGGTTCATGTACATGGCTACTTTGGCTGCCCTGGGAGGCCCACAGAGACCACCTGGACCCAACAGGCCCTCAAAGTCCACACCCTGCCAAGACCCTGGGAGTGCTGGTGAGGAGAGGGGCTGTGGGCAGAGAGGAAGCCCCCAGAAGCCTACACTCCTGGGCCTGCTCCTGGAGAAGCCAGCGACGATGGGGAGCGAAGCCAGAGCCCAGATGCCTGGCTACATGTGCAGCACGGGCAGTCCCAGCCCACGGAGAAATGCTGGTCTGAAGAGGCAAGCAGAACAGGAGTCCCAGAGGCGGCGCAAAGAAAAACAAGAGTGTGGCAGGGTGGGTCACAGGACAGACAGGGTGGGCTCCAGAAGGAACTGTGGAGGGGAGTGTCCAGCCCGGGCAGCCTCAGCGGGCGCTCGGCGACAGGACAGGCCTGAGCTGAGGAGGATTTGCAGGCTGCTGTCACCACCTGGGAGCCCGAGGCCACACACGGCTCCCACCTCAGCACAGCTCTACTCAGTGAACTCCAGTCAGCTCGAGGCACAGATGCCAGGTGCTGTGCACAGGTCACTCCCACAGGGGATAGGCAACACAGAGCCCCTGGCCTCACACTGAGCTCCTCAAGCACCCTGCCACCCTGTCTGTGCCCAGCAGCTAAGATGCCACCCAGAGCGGCACCACATGGCGCCACATTCTTGCTGCCGCTCCAAGGAGGCTCTGACTACCGCACCTTCATGCGCACTGGGCCACCACTGCCCCTGCAGACCAGCTCAACCAGGTCCGGCAGCAAGCAGTATGCATGGTCAGAGCCTCCAGCTCCACACAGGTGCACCAGGTTGGGATGCACATCCCCTGGGGGCCCCAGCCACAAGGGGAGAACACCCATCCCTGTGTGGAGCTCAAAGAGCAGACCCCCTGCCAGGACTCAGAGCCTCCTTAGGGGTGGCAGGCCTGGGTGCCCAGGGTCTGTTACCCTGTGGGTACCTGTGAGACCCTTGGTTGGGAATCAGCCCCATTTGTGCTGTGAGCCTTTCCTGCAGATTCCAGTTTCGGAAGTTGCAAAGCTATTTTTGTAAGTACCATTAATATTCTACACATTAACATTCTAATTCACATTTCATATCATGCTTAACCTATTTTCTGATTGCTATAGTACAGAGAAAGCAGATTAAATGTGCAAGACAACGCCAAGCTCCTAAATGAAATAAAAATACCAATTCTGAAGGTTCACTTTGATTCTGCTTTAAGTAGGTCACTGCTGTAGTGACTGCAACACTGCCGACAGGACTTCTCCAAGGGAAGAGTCACCAGAACCTGCCCAGTCCTCCCGGGAGATCCCAATGGGCAGCCTTTCCCCT